TCCAATACCTTTTCTTTTTCCAATCTTGCCATTAAAGATATTTGGATTAATTATATATATGAAATTTTCTTGCATCATAAAACATAGTGAACTCAAACAAAGAACCTCTGGCACTTCTTCGTTTTCTTATGCTTTGCCAAGTTTGACCTGCAGCTCATGGCAGAGCCGCATATATCGCATACGCACGGTTGTTTCGTTTTCTCTTGGTAAGATCTTTGGAAATATTGTTCGTCGTGTTCGGTTTTCTCCATTGGGGTTTTGTGGGCTTTTGGACTGATGAAATTGCTTTATAGCTTTCTTCAGACGAAGACGACGTTTCGCTGTCAGTCAGTTCTTTGTTTCCAAAACCGTTCCAAATAAAAGCAAGGTTTGATTTGTCATCGGGATTTCAACTCCCCTACTTACAAAGTAACAAGGCATATTGTGTATATTTAGTCAGTAACATATCTTAATATTTGTTTAAGTATTCTTTTACTCAATGGGAACTATGTATATTCAGTGTGTGCTTGTGGCATCTCATACAAGTCCTTAGCACAAACCCCAAAACAATTTCAACATCAAAATTTATAGGTTTCAGCAGTTTACCCTTCTACCGGTTGACTTATTTTTAGAGACACCCAATCCTAAAACCACAAGAATCCCAACCCAAACATGCTCAACGTTCAAAAACGGTAGGCCTGAGCTTTATCCCAAGCCAATCCAAAACCGAACCAATTTCCCAAAAGACTGCGCCGGTTTTCACCAAAACGGAAACTGTTTTCCCCAAAAACGGACACTGTTCTTCTCAAAAACGGGGCGTGTTTTTCCCCAAAAGCGGAGTATGTTTTTCCGAGAAATGGAGCATGTTTTTCCCAAAAACGGAGCATGTTTTTCCCCCAAAACGGCACATGTCTTTATATACCATGTTTTTTTCCTGAAAACGGAGTTTCACAAAGCTGGCGGCAGATTTCTCCAAAGCAGGTGGCAGAATCGGTGACGGTTTTCCCAAAGTCGGTGACGGATTTCCCCAAAATCGGCGACGGATTTCCCCAAAGTCGGTGACGGATATCCCCAAAATCGATTGCAGATTTTCCCAAAGTCGGTGACGGGATTTTCCCAAAGTCGGTGATGGATTTTCCCAAAATCGGTGACGGGTTTCCCCAAAGTCGGTGACGGATTTCCCCAAAGTCGGTGACGGATTTTCCCAAAGTCGGTGACGGATTTTCCCAAAATCGGCGACGGATTCCCCAAAATCCGTGACGAATTTTCCCAAAGCCGGTGACAGATTTCCCCAAAATCGGCAACGGATTTCCCCAAAGTCTGTGGCAGATTTCTCCAAAGCCGGTGGCAGAATCGGTGACGGACTTCGACGGATTTCCCCAAAATCGAAGTCGAAGGCAGATTTTCCCAAAGCCGGTCACGGATTTCCCCAAAATGTGGCTGATTTTCTGAGAGCCCAGCCTCGTTCGCCGGAACCCCAACTCCCGAAGCCAAAAATGCCAAAACGCTTTTGTACATACTTGCTCAAAACACAAAAACAATGAGGGATTTCCAGCCCGCAATCCACTCGTGGAGCTTGCAGGAAAACACAACCGAGGGTGAACCTGTGGATTTCTCAAAAGAACTGCTCCCAAGACCAATTGGTCGGAATTTCTCAAAATTGTCCATACTTTTCCCCGTTCTTTCTTAACCCTGTCAAAGGCACACCAAACTTTGTCCACTTCTTTTCCACGAATTGTCAATATATATTCCTCCAGTTTTCTTTTCAAGTTTCTCTCAGGAAAGCCGGTTCAAAATCAAGCACTTACCTTTTCTCACGATGCATGGTTGGATTCGTGGCTGTGCTTGGGCGTATACATTGCCCGAGTGAAACGTATCTTGAACAGCTTTTTGGTTCACTGTTTCTGCACCCGCTGTGTGCACAACCTGCTGGACAAGAGTGTCAACGCAGTGTCAAGTCTCATATCTTGTGAGTGATGCACGGTCATGCCACAGCGACATCCACTCTACATTTACTCCAAAGATGGAATTCGGTGAAACTATTGGGAACCCTTGCTCTCAATTGGTTTCACCTCAGCCACAGAAGGGCAAGACAAGTGGAACGCTAGGCGTAACGCTGCTGAGAAAAGCACTCACGCTGATGGCAATGTGAAGCTATAGCAATCTGTCCTTAAAACTGGAGGGAAAGACACAAACTTGAAGTGTGGTCAAAACAGCTGTTTCTCGAACCAAGCGCAACTCAGAGGCGGCAAAAAAACAAAAATACATCAGAAGGTTGTAACATTGACATCAGTTTGAAGCCCTGCATGGTTAAAAGCTGCTCAAAACAAAACACCAAGTGCCGGGCTCATCCGTGTCGCGAAGGCTTGCCGACTTTTCTTCTTTTATCCACTTTCCATCCTGCCATGAGCAAACTGGTAAAAAAGCGATCGTCATCGAAACAGGAAAAAAACTATCCTTCGAGCTGTAGATGTCAATCTTGAAAGACGCAATGGAGAGTTCCGCCCTCTTCTTGATGCCCTGAAGCAAACGGCAATCAAGTCTGAAGAAAATCAATGAAAGCGAACTCAAAGAGAGAAAGCAACATCTGAGCATATGGCTTCTTTGAGGTCATCAACCTCATGAAAGGCTCAAGACCCGTCATGACCAAGACTTGAGTGGAAGAACATAGTACCGTGAAAGCGTGACAAGCCAGCAAAAAAGGCAATAGCAAAGCTAAGGTCACTGCGTCTGCCAGCTCTCCGGTGACTTGGAACGGGTTGCCAATCTGCTTGAATGTATCACCGTCCTGCAATTGCAACAGGGGGTGGGCGACAGCCAATGGCTGCGCCTTTCGATAAGCACGTGCAAAAGCACAATGCGCATGACACGGAATGCAATGCCTTACGCAAGAATTTTGACGTTGGGATGTGAAAATGGCTGAGGGAAATCTCCTCATGAGCTTTCAGCTGACCAAACCACTTCTGTTCTTAACCTACCACTAGTCAAAGGCTCGAAAAGGAACAAAGGCATAAACTGTTGCATTGACTTTTGCAAATTACAAGCCTTTGATGCTTGAGTGCACAACCCTACTTTTATTCACATGACCAATCAACACCGGCTTTAGCACAGGAACTTTGCAGAGGAACAAACAAAACAAACATAGGGGTCTAAAACAAGGTTGCTTCTTCAACAGATTTGTAAGTTTCAACGTCTTTGATGTTGAGGTGGGACCTTTCGTGTTTTTTCGTCAGTAAAAGTTCTTCCTACACCTGACAAAAGGGCACCGCAAAGGAACAAGGGCGTGGCAAAACATCATACAAAGTCTTAGTCTAAATCCTCTCTATCAAATTGAGGAAGATGTTGAGAAGATATAATTCAACAAATCCTGAGGAATAAATACGCTACTGCTAGTATTTTATGCATAAAACATTTACTTCCCTCAAAAGAACACGGCAAAGGAACAAGCAAAGGGCAAAGACCTTTCGAAGTTGAATATGAAGACATCCAAATAAACAACCATGCAATCGCCCCAACTGTGCTGAAACAAACCGTGACAAGGCAAAGGATGCCAGAAAGAAGGCTGAATAAGCCACTTGTATTTTAACCTAACACTAGTAAGAGGAACTTCCAAAAGGAACAAAGACATAAACTGTTGCAGTGGCTCTTGCACATAACAATGCTTTTGACGCTTGAGTGGGAGAATTGATGGAGCACAAGCCTACTATTATTCACAAGACCAATCAACACCGTTTTTAGCACACGAACCGTGCAAAGCAACACAAGGAACTAGGGATGACAAGGCTGCTTGTTCAACACTTGCTGTATCGCTCACAAGGTGAGATGTTGAGGTGGGAACAGTCAAATGGACGTGGCACAGGCACGGCAAAACGTCATACAAAGTCTTTAGTCTAAATCCTCTCTATCAAATTGAGGACGATGTTTGGAATACATCTTTTAACAAATCTTGAGGAATGAACAACCCTGCGATCTTCTCCCCAAAAAGTGCTGAGCCGTGTCAAGAACATGAAATGACAGGGTATCATTTTCAAGAGCGGGCTTACACATAATCACATGTTTGGCTTGGGGCATGGCTTTTCGTCAATAAGTTCTTCCTACACCCGACAAAAGGGCACGGCAAAGGAACAAGGGTATGCCAGAAAATCGCACAAACGTCTGCAGTCTAAATCATCTCTATCAACTTAAGGCAAATGTTGGGAAGATATCATCAACAAATCTTGAGGAATGAACAACCCTCTTATCTTCTCCCTAAAAGACTGAACCGCAGCAAGAACATACAATGTCAAGGTAATGTCTTGCGTAGCGGACTTTCCTACAATCAGCATCGTGTGAACACCCTCAGCCTATATTGTTGTGAACAAAAGGTCAATCAAACCAATTCCATCCTTCTTTTTCACTTGGGGAATTTTGAACCTGAGGTGGGGAGCGTTCAGAAACCATTGTCCTAAACCGAAAGGAGCGTTTACCAAATTCTAAAGATGAGTTGTGTACCTTGTTCTTGCAACTGTTGTCAGTCCTTTTGCAGTTGCCTCACCCAAACAGCTTTGGTCTGAGTTGGAGAGGTGGCACCTTGCAGGGCACGAAGATGACAAGTTGGGTCTTTGCAAGGTCTTACTTTGGTCAGCTATTGTGTATAATCAGGAGCGTTTGCGATAAAGCGGAAAAAACGACAACTTTACATTAAACACAAAAAAATATCCCTGCTCGTCTGCAAGTAGAATGCTTTCTCACATTAAGTGATGTTCTTCCAAGCCAGCCCTTTCCCTTCAGTCCCCGCCTGCAACAGTTGGGATTCAGACTGGTTTGATGCCTGATAGCAGAAATTGCTTGATATCCACTGGCCTCCATCCACCGTCAGGCATCCTTGCCCCTTCCAAATTTTCCTGCACCCAAGCCTCATCCTGCTTGAACTCTTTGAGGGATTCATTTAAGGCTCTCTGGACTGTGTCCTCCGACTCCTTGGTGGTTCTCGTGAATGCATGTAACATCTTGCGCCACCAGCTTTTTCTGCGGGACTTTCTCTAGTCCTTCAGCTTTGCAGTTGCGTTCAAATTCAGAAGGAGTCTGTATGCCTGTATCTCATTCCATCTGTACTTGCTGACATTGCACTTCTGCTGTGGCGATACACGTGTTCGTGCCCCATTGAGCAAACCAACTTCCTCAGCGACTTCACGCGACTGCGTGACGACCACAACTTGTCCATGTAAGAAGGCGGCGCGGGCAAGGCTAATCAACATCTGCCCATCCTGACCGATTCTATTGTCAAAGATGTTGTCAAGAACCACTTGCAAGCGAACTCCCGCATCTGACAAGATTCGAAAAAGGTTTGCTGCGACAGCCGGCACGTAGGCTTCATCGCTAACTCGAAAGAAATCTTTGAGAAGATTCAGGTTTTCTTGTATCAAAACAGTGATGCACTTTGGGTTGTGTTTTGCCCACGTCAGCATGGCTAAAGCTACCGCAACCGACTTGCCCGTGCCGGGTTCAGCATGAATCGCAGAGACTCCCGTGGAGGTCGCATCGGATAGCACACTCGTCACCAAATGCTGAAACTCTGTGGCATTCACGGGGATGAGTGGTATTGAGATGCTGGGCACAAAGATGTTTCGGGCTTCCTGTGACATCTTGGCTCTATCCATCAGTTTATCCGCAAGGAGTCTTGCGTGGTGGTGGGCTTCATAGACATCCTCCAATAGTTTCAGCTTTGCAATCGGACGAAAATTTTTGTTTGCATCCAAAACTTGCTTTCCAATGTCCTTCAATGATATCCCTGCCACACTGACAATTGGGTCAAGACATGCTGCCAACCAAGGAGCCTCTGCGGACCTTGCAGTCTTGCTTGAACGCTTGTATCTGTCTTGCGTCGTTCGAGGTATCTCAAAGAAAGCCAAGAAGAACTTGCCAACTAGAATGGACAAAACCAGTGCAATGATCTTGAAGCGGCGTTTTGCCATGGGAACATTGCAGGTCTAGACAAGTATAATGTATGTGCATGACACCAAGGTTGATGCATATATATTTTTTTATTTTTATGTCAAACATCATCTATATCTTGTAAAACACATATATATATATATACAACCAAATGATGTTTGTGCTGTTCGGTCGCACATCAGGAAAGGATTGCAAAACCCTGCTCTCAGAAGAAAAGCCACGAGCATGGCACAAATCAATCCAGCTACGGCTTTTGGTACCTGTAAAGAGCTGCTGCAGGCAATTGCGATGAAAGCGGACCCGACAACAAAACAAAGAACTGTGTCAAAGTCCCTCAATGTGCACCAAAACAAATAGAACAAAACAACTATATAGTTAAACAATGACCATCAATGACCCCTTGAAGACATGACATATGATCTACTTGGGGACTCGATAGACCAGGATTCATAGACACGGTTCAGACCCATTATGGGGGGCAATGTGTGGACATGCACCAAACTCAAAAATTATACATCCAGTGTGCAAAGGCTAAGGCTAAGACTGTCAATCTTAAGAAGCAAACACATCCTGCAAGATCCTACTACTGCTTCCTTCAGGTGTTTTGTCGGCCATGTGTCAGCAATATTGTTCTACATGTTTGATCATGTTTGTGATTCATTCACATCAGAACACCTGTCGTCGCCACCTGGGCTTCATCTAGAAGGGTGTCCAACTGCCAAACGCCCACCTTGCTCATTCCGGCTCACCAAGATGTTGTCGGGCTTGATATCCAGGTGGACAAAGCCCAAAGAGTGCCTCGGTCATGACGGCTCGCCCATCTGAAGGATGGAACGTGCTCAGCTGAGCAATGGGGTGTTGGGGTGTTGCTGGATCGCCGTGTTGCAAGGTCCAAACCTATCGTCTGACCAGCATGTTTCTTCCAGACTACACGTGTCGTCGATTCATGTCTCCGGGGGCCTCACCAGTCGAACGACTTGTAACCTATCGAGTTGGAGAAACAAGATCGGAGACTCCTCCGCCCCCCTTTTTCCATACACGAAAGATCTTCGTCTTGAAGCCTTGACTTTCCACCACGAAGACCCGAAGGCCCCGAGCTTCCAAGCAAAACTTGAAGACCCGAAGCCACATGGCGTAAGACCTGCGGCAGGTCAGACCGGCTTCGCCGGTCTAGCGTGGCTCGCGGTCGGGAGGTGAAAGAAAGAACCAATGACTATGCAAGACCAACGACCAGATCATCACAGATCATCACAGATCTACGTGGTTTTCTGACATATGGAGGTGTTTTTGGGACTCCTCCGCACACTTGGCTTCAGATGGGACTTCTCCGACTGACCCTGCGAGTCCGACCTGTGAGTGGGGGCCGCCGGGCTCCAGCCCGGGCTCCGGCCGTTGCTCGGTTGCCGACCGCACCTCCAGCAACTCATTTTCACTGAAGCTTGGCGTCGCCCAAGCCTGGCGCGGTCCCAAGGGCACCGGCACGGTGCAGTTCTGTCAAACACGGAGGGCACATACAGTCTGTCACACATGGTGAAGAGCTTCTGAGGTCAGATGAAGAACTCCCGAACGGGATCCAGTCGTATCTTCTCAGAAGGTCATTGGACCCTCCACACCTACATAACAGTGTCTCCAATCACTTTCTGAGAAGGTGTTTAGGATCCCTAGGGACTCATACCTGATTTGTCACATCCTTCTGTGCACATACAGTCTAGATCCGCCGTGCAGATCGTTAAGAAGGCACAAAGACACGGGGAGTCGTGTAGGATGTGCTAGTCGGTTCAGCCGTGATTCTCTCCCTGCACGTGGTGCTTGTGGAGCTTGTTGCTCTCACAAAAACTCCACCAAGTAAGGCACACCGGGATCCACGCATGCCATTAATTGACCGGCAAAATGATAAAGGATTGGATCTATTATAGAAGAGATTCCTGGATGTCACCAACACATTCACATGCTTCACTTTCGATTGAAAGAATCACGTTCCCTCCTTGACTCTGAACCCGGGATGAAAGATGATGAAAGCTGATGATGTGTGGTGGGGTGGGAATGGGGTGGGGTGTTGCTTTGCGTCTGCTGGTCCTCGAGCAGCTCTTCACAAAACACAACCCGCCAACCCGCGCCTACACACGATCTTTTCCGGATTCCGCGCGTGTGTTTCGATGAAGCCGCCACTTCGTCTGTCTGTTCAAACCTCAAAAAGCATTAAAAACCTCAGTTTGGCCAGAAAGTCAGCGGAACTCTACATACTAGCGGTTTCCATTGACTCCCTGAAACACAGCTTTCCATTGACCACCCCAGGTGGTTCCTGATTTTCCAAGAAGGTCCACCAGCTCCGCCCCACCTGACCGATTCCCCGCGCGTCTCCGCATCTCCCCCGACCCCCGCCATCCGCTCGTTGAGACGATCTCGCAAGGAGCAGTGGCACCTGAGAGCGCGGTGGGCGCGCTTGGACGAAGCCGGTGGAGGTCGGTGGAGAAAAGGCTGTGGGGTGGGCCTGGGAGGGGTCCCTTTGTCTTACAAAACACTCCCTCCAACCATCTCCAGCACGCTGAGAGGACTTCAGGGTCTGAAAAGCATGTCGACTTCCAGTGCTTCAGGGAGGGGAGACCGACCCTAAGGCCTGATAGACACACATGATATGTTGACCAAGAACTTTGAACATTCAGAAACTGGGCCCAAGGTTGCCAAACACAATCGAAACCGGGCTGTGTTTTGGTGTCTTGACTTTCACAGTGGCAAGCTCTGACAGCTTGTCCGACTACATCACTGTAGATGCATCAAGCGCACCTCTTGTCTGCACCCATCCATCTCAAAAACAACAAAGAACACATATCAACTTCTCCTATTTAGAAGAATCAGGAATCCCTCCGTCCCAAAAGAATCAATACCATACCATACTATACCCCAAGCCAGCCAATCAAGCCGCACCACCGATGGCCGAGCACTTGGGACCCCTGGCAGCTCCGTCTGTACATGGAGCCTCCCGTCCTGGAGCAGCGAACCCAACGGACGACGGTCGCAGGACATGAACCCAACGGACGACGGTCGTTTGGAGTTGACGGGTTTTAAGAAGGGTTAGTGCATACCGCATACCCATCCTCCTAGAATCATGGAAGCTGAGCAAACCCCCCTTTTTGAGGAACATGGTCTTGCAGGTGTTCCACTTTCATGATTGTTTCAGGGAGTCTTAGATATGTATTCCAGCCACATGAAGTGTCTATTTGTTTGGTCTTCCAACTATCGATGGCGTGGTGGCATGGCTGGGAATACCTTTGGTCCGACCAGCAAAGGGAGATCACTTGAGGAAGGAGCTTAGGAGTCTATCATCGCTCCAAAAACAATCCACATATGACATATTATAGATTATTATATAGTGACACTTTATTATAGTGAGTGGCATATTCATATATACCTATGCGTTCATCATTGCAAGATGCATTTCAGTGATGAAGTCCGGCTCTTCCCAACATGTTTTTCTAGCGCAGTTGCACCACAGCTTCAAATGCATGGCATGGCAATCTTTGCAACACTTAAACACATGTAACCTGTTATTGTTCCTGTCACTGTTGTGCTCATGGAATGTTCAAGGACATATGTTCCCCGCAAGAAACACACAACAACGCAGCACACACACACACACACACACACACACACGCTTCCATTTCCCAGTCTCTGGAACTCCACTCCCCAGTCGTTGCAGTCAGACGGCAAACCCGAAGAACCTGCACAACTGATTGATTTGCAGGTGTCCTGCATGGCACCATGGCACCGGGGGACCCCCGGTTTTTTCGCATCAAATCGAATGAACAGAATGGTCGGTCCCGAAGAGCCAGATCGGTCAGTGATACCAGGGTCCACTGGCTCCAGGATGCTGGACTTTGTTTCGCCACATTTTGGATGTTGGCCCACCTGGATTTGCTGTCCAGGACCCAGAAAAAACGAGAACAAAATATCTTCCCCATGACCGCAGATCCACCCAAGAATTAAGCAAAACCAAGGTTCACAGTTGCCCCATGTTGCCCCACCCAGCAAGCACCACAGCACTGCAGCACTCCAGCACTCCAACCCGAGCAGTACCGAGCAGCGTGCCACGCGGGCGCGCGTGCGGTCGCCTCCAGCCAAGAGGAGAAGTAGCGGACGATGTACGGGCAACCCGCTGCCTCCGTACCCAGGGTCGTTCTGAACCATCGTCCGGTCGGCGGTGAAAGCAGCTGATGTCCCAGTCGGATAGACCCTCATTTGACTGCACGGTGATCATACCAAAAGTATCAACAAGTGGGTGTCGCCCCTCACCGACACGTCTTGCTCGCGCTTCACCTCCATGGAGACATTCGCCAAGGCAAAGACCTCCCGGAGCTCCGTCTGACGGAGGCCTAGTCGCTCGGCTCGGCGTGGCGTTGGGCTGGAGAGCGAGAGCGAGAGCTGGGGGTGTGAAAACCGGTGCAGGGAGTGACAGTCTAAACCGGAGTCTAAGCAGATGTCCGAAAACCTCCTGGAGAGGTGGAGAAGATCTGATTGGATCAAAATCCTAATGGAACACTCTGAAAAAAAAACTCTTAAGCCTCATAGGAGAATCTCTGAATCCCGAGGTGCAGGGCTTGAGGAGTTCCGGAACCGGGAGTGGATTCGGATTGTAAAGCCGCTGACTGCGGGCCTCGCCGCCGAAGCCACAAAGAAAGGGGTTCGTTTTTCAGGGACTTGGTTGAAGGAGCAAACAGATGCAAACAATCTATACCAGCACCCTCCTGGCCAGGCTAGTTGAGGGTTGTTGGACCCTGTCTCAGGTCTCAATTGGTGACCTGTCGGAGGGTCCTGGTCTGAAGACGCGACGCCTCCGGGCGATCACCCCTTCTGTTAAAGTCTAAAAGGAAGGGTGAGAACTCCTACTATTGGACTATGATGCTATGGGAGAGTGAAGGTAGAACATGCCAAACATACATTCAAACTCTTTAACATGGACATGGAAAGGAACAACACAACACACACACACATATAGATATAATTTCCCAAAATTTTGCTCGAT